AGAGTCATTTCCCCAAGATATGTTACATGTTCATGCTTTCAGAGTCTCCCCAGATGTAAAGAGACAAAAAGGCCTTGGCACATGATCACAGAGGTTTTGCACCAGAAACTGTGTGCAAGAAGATGCTGCTTTGCACTTGCTGGCAAATACTTCTGTCTATTCTTTTTTGGTTGGATCTGGTGGAGGGAAGTATCTGCTTTTTTTTAAAAAAAAAATCCCTTTGCAAGTCTAACTGGAAAGCCTTCCCCTGCCCCCAATTCTGCAAAGGAAACTTTTCAGCACGCCATGGTTCCTTCGACAGATTTATCATTCTATAGGGAGCTGCTGTCCAGGGTCTTTCCCCTCCGCAAGTGCTTGGGATGTTTCCTCCGGGCTAAAAGGGATGCTTTGATGCTTCAGGGATAGGCCAGCAGCCCTTGCTGCTCTCGAAAGGAAGGAGCCGTAGAGTCTCCCTTCTGACTCTTCCGCTCTGGCAACTGCAGGACAGACGTGGCTTTCTCTCCATCAGTTCAAAGGGGCCTTCTGACAGAGGGATGGGCCTCAGGGTTCATCCATTGAGTAATCAAGTTGGAAAGTGACACAAGGGCCATCTCATTCAACTCCATTCTGCCATGCAGGCATAGACGAGGGCTGAATGAAAAGTAATGCCTTATTTGAGAACACAGAAATGCTGGACCACTCTCACAACCACCATGTCAGACTACACAGAGAAGCCATTGAAATCCACAAGCATGTGGACAATTTCAACAGAAAGGAGGAAACCATGAAAATGAACAAAATCTGGCTACCAGTATTAAAAAACTCTAAAATTACAACAGCACAACAACAGAGAGGAAACAAACAAGAACATCTAATCACCTCTCAACAAAAGTTTGCTCTAGGCACTGTCAGGCCATTATATGCTAATCAAGGTGGTCATTCACACCTAGCTCCAGCAGACAAGAGTCCTTTGTCTCACCCTGGTCATTCCACAGATATATAAACCCTTTTTCCTAGTTCCAACAGACCTCACTACCTCTGAGGATGCTTGCCATAGATGCAGGCGAAACGTCAGAAGAGAATGCCTCTAGACCATGGCCATATAGCCAAAAACCTACAACAACCCTAATGCCTCCACCTTTGTAAATCCTCAACAGATGGCAGTACTGGTATGTGGCAGGTACTGGCTTGTTCAGTAGACTCTCCTCTACCATTCCATTTTGGCACGAAGCCTTAGCATTGAACGGTTGTGTTGTTAAAGTGTGAAGCATGGAACTCTGCACAGACAGTCGGTCAATGTGACAAGCAACATGCAGTCATTGAATTCTTGACAGCAGGTGTCACTGTTGCACTCCAGGTCCAGAAGAAGCCCTCTGACTTAAAACACACCACACGAAGAGTGAAGAATCAAATCTTCTTTTATTGAAGCTTAGTAAATAGCTAAGCTTCCGGTTGACCAGCCGGACCGGGGTTGCCCTTTTCACCCTTGACTCCTCCGGTTCCAGGGGGCCCACGGGCACCTTCTGGACCAGTTGGACCTGGCCTCCCTGGGATGCCTGGCGGTCCAGGGCTTGTAAGAAAACCAGAAGGTTCCAAAAAGTATTAGTCCATAAACAGTAGTAACCCAAAGCAATGTCCACACAAGAAATACAGACAATCCAAGACAGCATTAATCCAGACAGGAATCAAGGAGGATGCAAAGATAATCCAAAAGGCTAAAAAAAACTCCACAGAAACAAGATCCCTTGAACAAGACTTCCATGGCACAAGAACTTGGTTTCCAAACGATGCCTGATCTGATAGGTTTTCTCTTGAAGCAAACTTTATATCCCAAAACTCAGAAATTGGTTTAGTTTCCCTCCACATTTTCCCTTTATCAGATGCAGCCTTTCGGAGCGACGTAAATACTGAGATTGTTGCCAATCTTGGCTAATCTCCAGCCACCTATTCTTCAGCTCCTTATTTGGCTGCTCTGGCTGCTCATTAAAATTCCCAGGTGTCAGATTGTTTTCCAAACCCAAATCTTGAGAGCTCACACAGAGAGGGAGTGAATTATCACTGCTAGACCCACGGATATTCTCATGAGAAACTGCCCTTTGCACTGGGGCCTCTCTGTCATTGTATGAAAATCATTGACCAAACCATCTCCATCTTGTACCTCAGCCTCGGCAACATCATTTCCTTCATCATTTCCCACAGCCTCAGCACCATCATTTCCCATGTCAGGATCCTGAAACACAAACACAGGCTGATTCCCAACAGTCACCCCAAAGGAGATTCATCAGAGAATGCAAGCTATTTATGGTGATTGTGTTGATGTGAGTACTGTGCATTGTTGGGTGAGTAAGTTTAAAGATGGTGAGGTGGGAACATCTGACTTGCATGACAAACAAAGAGCTGGGCGTCCTGTGGCCCAACCTATTCATGCGATGTGCGGGATCTTGACGAATGCAAGGCCGGGGTAAAAATTGCTGGAAGAAACATTAACAACCTTAGATATACAGATGACACACTTTGATGGCCGAAAGCGAGGAGGAGCTGAGGAGCCTTCTAATAAAGGTGAAAGAAGAAAGCGCAAAAGCTGGGTTGCAGCTAAACATAAAAAAACCCCAAGGTTATGGCAACAAGAATGATTGACAACTGGAAAATAGAGGGAGAAAACGTGGAGGCAGTGACAGACTTTGTATTTCTAGGTGCAAAGATGACTGCAGACCCAGACTGCAGCCAAGAAATCAGGAGACGTTTCCTTCTTGGGAGGAGAGCGATGTCCAAGCTTGATAAGATAGTGAAGAGTAGAGACATCACACTGGCAATGAAGATCCTCATAGTTAAAGCAATGGTATTCCCCATAGTCACCTACAGATGTGAGAGCTGGACCATAGGGAAGGCTGAGCGAAGGAAGAGAGATGTTTTTGAACTGTGGTGTTGGAGGAAAGTTCTGAGAGTGCCTTGGACCACCAAAAGATCCAACCAGTCCACACTTCAGGAAATAAAGCCCAACTGCTCATTGGAGGGAAGAATAGTAGAGGCCAAGATGAAGTACTTTGGCCACATCATGAGAAGAAAGGAAAGCTTAGAGAAGACAATGATGCTGGGGGAAATGGAAGGAAAAAGGAAGAGGGGCCAACCAAGGGCAAGATGGATGGATGGCATCCTTGAAGTGACTGGACTGACCTTGAAGGAGCTGGGGGTGGCGACGGCCAACTGGGAGCTCTGGCGTGGGCTGGTCCATGAGGTCACGAAGAGTCGGAGACGACTGAACGAATGAACAACAACAATTGTTTTTATGTGTTTTTTGCACTACGACTGAACGAATGAACAACAAGTTCATAATTGAGAGTTGGGAATCCGTAACTGCTCCATATTCCGTAGCCAAGAAGAAAATGCTCACTAATACATTGCTCCCAATGTATTGGTGAGGATTTGGGGATGGAAAGAAGGTTCTTATGGGAGTATGCAGTCCTTCAATGGTCTCAGCCTCTTCCCCAAGATTTGAGGACCACACTGATCATTTCCAGTACTTTGGTAGGATGACAATGCCATCTGCTGGTGCTTGTGTTAAAAGCAACTGTTTCTTGTGTCTCCTGGGGTGCTTCCTACACTGTAGAATTAATGCAGTTTGACACCACTGCCAGGTATCAGTGTTATTTGATCCTGGGAGCTGTAGCACTCATTGGCAGAGAAGGCTAAAGACCTTATAAAACTATAATTCCCATAACTGACATTAGTTTGACATGTCAGTTAAAGTGGTGTTAAACCAAATTAATTCTATAGTGTAGATCCAGCCTTTGAGTATAGGTGGGAAATAATAATAAATAATAGCACTTTATTTATATTCTGTCCTATCTCCTTGGAGGGACTCAGGGAATATTCCAATCACCAAAAGGAAAACATTCATAGAATCCTAGAGATGGAAGTGACCTCATGGGCCATCCAGTCCAACCCCATTTGGCCAAGAAGCAGGACAATTGCATTCAAAGCATCCACGGCAGATGGCCATTCAGCCTCTGTTTAAAAGCTTCCAAAGACGGAGCCTCCACTACACTCCAGGGCAGAGAGTTCCACTGCTGAACGGCTCTCACAGTCAGGAAGTTCTTCCTGATGTTCAGATGGAATCTCCTCTCTTGTAGTTTGAAGCCATTGTTCCCTTGCATCCTAGTCTCCAGGGCAGCAGAAAACAAGCTCGCTCCCTCCTCCCTATGACTTCCTCTCACATATTTATACATGCAGAGGCGGCCCTAGGTAATTTTCAACAGTAAGCAAACAGTATTTTGCCCCCCCCCCAACCAATCACTGATATATATTTTCTGTTCATCGTGGGAGTTCTGTGTGCCTTATTTGGTTCAATTCCATCATTGGTGGAGTTCAGAATGCTCTTTGTAGGTGAACTATACATCCCAGTAACTACAACTCGCACATGTCAAGGTCTATTTTTCCCTAAGAGCGCCTCAAGAGCACCCCTGGGCAAAATCAACTATACTGCAAATGCTTACTTTGCGTAATGGGTTGAGCCGCCCCTGTATACATGGCTATCATGTCTCATCTCAGCCTTCTCTTCTGCAGACTAAACATGCTGAGCTCTTTAAGCCACTCCTCATAGGGTTTGTTCTCCAGACCCATGATCATTTTAGTTGCCCTCCTCCTGACACATTCCAGGTTAGAGTCAACATCTCCCTTCAATTGTGGTGCCCAGAATTCGACACAGTATAATTCCAGATGTGGTCCAACCAAGGCTGAATAGAGGGGAAGCATGACTTCCTTGGATCAAGACACTATACTCCTATTGACTCAAGCCAAAATCCTGTTGGCTTTTTATGCCGCCACATCACATTGTTGGCTCATGTTTAACTTGTTGTCCACGAGGACTCCAAGATCTTTTTCACACGTCCTGCTCTCGGGCTAGGCATTCAATCAGCACCGTTTTGCCTCCTCCAATGCTTGGCCTGCCTAAACTTTACATGAGCCACAAAGTCAACCGAGGACTGAATATTTTAGTTTAGTTTTAAAACATTTTAATTTATATTATTATTTTTATAAAAGTTGGCAGGTGAAGAATCCCAAGGCAGGAAAGAACATCATAAGGGAATAAATATACAGCACTTAATTAGAGTTGCACTGGTGGACTTAGCTATTCCTAGCGATATATGCTCTCTGTGAGTTTGCTGGATTTTCCAGCACAACTTTATGATAACGCCCAGTGGAAGCGTATGAGGGAATTGTGCTGGAGATCCAAGCAAACACCTAGAGAAATAATTTTTCCTGGCATAAGTAAGTGAAATTGTCAATATGTGTTCTGCTACAGAGTTCTTAATGTAGCATAAGGGTAAAGGTAAAGGTTTTCCCCTGACATTAAGTCCAGTCGTGTCCGACTCTGGAGGTTGGTGCTCAAGCCGAAGAGCCGGCGTTGTCCATAGACACCTTCAAGATCACATGGTCGGCATGACTGCATGGAGTGCTGTTACCTTCCTGCTGGAGCGGTACCTACTGATCTACTCACATTTGTATGTTTCCGAACTGCTAGGTTGGCAGGAGCTGGGGCTAACAGGTGGATGCTACACAATTCTCAACCTGGGGATCCTCAGGTCTTTTGTCCTACAACTCCCAGAAATCCCAGCCAATTTACCAGCTGTTGGGATTTCTGGGAGTTGAAGGGCAAAACATCTGGGGACCCACAGGTTGAGAACCACTGTTGTAGAAGAACTGCTCCTCCACAAAGAGCAAGGGCCCTCTTAAAATCTTGTTGGTCTCTGCTAGCTATCTCTGCTTTCCAATGTCGGATCTTAACCCATGAAGATAGTGGTTCTCAACCTTTGGGTCTCCAGGTGTTTTGGCCTATAACTCCCAGAAATCCCAGCCAGTTTACCAGTTGTTGGGATTTCTGGGAGTTGAAGGCCAAAAAACCTGGGGACCCACAGGTTGAGAACCACTGTCGTAGAGGAACTGCTTCTCCACAGAGAGCAAGGGCCCACTTAAAATCTTGTTGGTCTCTACTAGCTTTCTCTGCTTTCCAATGTCAGATCTTAACCCATGAAGACAGTGGTTCTCAACCTGTGGGTCTCCAGTTGTTTTGGCCTACAACTCCCAGAAATCCCAGCCAGTTTACCAGCTGTTGGGATCTCTGGGAGTTGAAGGCCAAAACATCTGGGGACCAACAGGTTGAGAACAACTGCATGGAGACAAGTTCAACCCAGAGGACAATGGTTGGGTGGCTATTGCTTTCTTCTCCAAAGAGATGGAGAACTTCTCTTTGAAGAAATGGGAGTTCTACCAATGAATTCTCATCACGGAAGGTGCAGAAGGGAAGAGCCACTGGCTTCATAATAGAGTCCAGCTGGACCAAAAGCAGCATTCCCGTCATTACTGGTGAATTGGTGAGCCATAAGTTCATCCCATCTACTTCAGATCAGGTAAGGAGGAGCCCAAGTAAGTGCGCAGGTCACTGATGGTTGAGTGGATGATTTTGGCAGGGATGGTCTCCTTGTTCAGGCGCTTGTATGCAGCATAGCGGTGACACCCTCCAAAGGAGTAGAAATAATCCCCCCCTTCGCGGCCTTTGATCCAAAGGATGTCTATCGGGGGCACCTGGTCAGGATCCTCCTAGAAATGGGAGGGAACAACAAGAGAAATAGAGGAAGGAGAGAAGCAAAGGATGCCAAATTTAGTCTTCGGAATGTGCTAGGCCCAGATGGATCTGTTGCAATGAGCAATTCACTTGCCATCAGTGGTATCGTTAGGGTTGGTGTTACCCAGTGTGTTGGTTATAATTATTTTCTTATTATGTTTATTTATACCCCACTTTTTCTCTCCACAAGGAGACCCAAAGTAGCTCCTCCCATAACAGACCACACAGCAATACTGGAACACCAGAAATCATACAATCATAGACTCATAGAGTTGGAAGAGACCTCATAGGTCATCCAGTCCAACCCCATTCTGCCAAGAAGCAGGAAAATTGCATTCAAAGCACCCCTGACAGATGACCATCCAGCCTCCAAAGAAGGAGCCTCCACCACATTCCAGGGCAGAGAGTTCCACTGCTGAAAGGCTCTCACAGTCAGGAAGTTCTTCCTCATGTTCAGATGGAATCTCTTTTCTTGTGGTTTGAAGCCACTGTTCATCAAGTTTGCTGATGGGGCCAAATGAGGAGGGAGAGCCACGACTCCAGAAGACGAGGCAGAATTCAAAACAGTCTTGACAGATTAGAGAAATGATTGACCAAAACTAACACAATGAAGTTCAACAAGGACAAATGCAAGATGCTCCACTTAGGCAGAAAAAATGAAATGCAAAGATACAGAATGAGGGACAATGCCTGGCTCGAAAGCAGTACGTGTGAAAAAGATCTTGGGAGTCCTCATGGGGAGGAAGTTACACATGAGCCAACAATATCATGCAGTGGCTAAAAAAGCCAATGGGATTTTGGCCTGCATCAATAGGAGTATAGTGACGAGATCCAGGGAAGTCATGCTCCCCATGCTCTATTCTGCCTTGGTTAGACCACATTTGGAATCACACTGTGTCCCATTCTGGGCACCACAATTGAAGGGAGATGTTGGCAAGCTGGAAGGTTTCCAGAGAAGAGCGACTAAAATGATCAAGGGTCTGGAGAACAAGCCCTATGAGGAGCGGCTTAGAGCTGGGCATGTTTAGCCTAAGAAGAGAAGGCTGAGAGGAGATGATAGCCATGTATAAATATGTGAGAGGAAGCCACAGGGAGGAGGGAGCAAGCTTGTTTTCTGCTGCCCTGGAGACTAGGACGCGGAACAATGGCTTCAAACTACAAGAGAGGAGATTCCATCTGAACATGAGGAAGAACTTCCTGACTGTGAGAGCCGTTCAGCAATGGAACTCTCTGCCCCGGAGTGTGGTGGAGGCTCCTTCTTTGGAGGCTGGATGGCCATCTGTCGGGGGTGCTTTGAATGCAATTTTCCTGCTTCTTGGCAGAATGGGGTTGGACTGGATGGCCCATGAGGTCTCTTCCAACTCTAGGATTCTATGATTCTATGCTCCTGCTTGAGTTGCTTTGCCTTCTTGCAGAATTCTGGTTTGTAGTTTAGGGAAGCTGTTAAAGACTCTTCCCTAAACTACAAACCCCAGAATTCTTCAGGAGGCAGAAACATGATTTAAAGTGGATTCATTCTCTAGTGCAGTGGTTCAGATGTCTTGGCGTTCAACTCCCAGAAATCCCAGCCAGTTTATCATCTGTTAGGATTTCTGGGAGATTTTTTTTTTGTCGTGTCAGGAGTGACTTGAGAAACTTCAAGTCGCTTCTGGTGTGAGAAAATTGGCTGTCTGCAAGCACATTGCCCAGGGGACCTGGATGTTTGATATTTTATCATCCTTGTGGGAGGCTTCTCTCATGTCCCTGCATGGGGAGCTGGAGCTGACAGAGGGAGCTCATCCACGTTCTCCCCGGATTCGAACCTGCCGGTCTTCAGCCCTCCCAAGGTACGGACGCAGCTGGCGCACAAGTTGAAGGCCAAAACATCTGGGGACCCAGAGGTTGAGAACCACTGCCTAGTGTGATGTGGCCCATATATGATTCTATAAGAGCTTCCCTGTGCATTATATAAAAAAGGTAAAGGTTTCCCCCTGACATGTCCAACTCTGAGGATTGGTGCTCATCTCCATTTCTAAGCCGAAGAGCTGGCGTTGTCCATAGACACCTCCAAGGTCATGTGGCCGGCACGACTGCCTGGAGCGCCGTGTGCATTGTCTGTTGTTGTTGTTGTTCATTCGTTCAGTCGTCTCCGACTCTTCGTGACCTCATGGACCAGCCCACGCCAGAGCTCCCTGTCGGCCGCCACCACCCCCAGCTCCTTCAAGGTCAGTCCAGTCACTTCAAGGATGCCATCCATCCATCTTGCCCTTGGTCGGCCCCTCTTCCTTTTGCCTTCCACTTTCCCCAGCATCATTGTCTTCTCTAGGCTTTGCTGTCTCCTCATAATGTGGCCAAAGGACTTCAACTTTGTCTCTAGTATCTTTCCCTCCAGTGAGCAGTCGGGCTTTATTTCCTGGAGGATGGACTGGTTGGATCTTCTCGCAGTCCAAGGCACTCTCAGAACTTTCCTCCAGCACCACAGCTCAAAAGCATCAATCTTCCTTCGCTCAGCCTTCCCTAAGGTCCAGCTCTCACATCCGTAGGTGACTACAGGGAATACCATGGCTTACTAGGCGGATCTTTGTTGCCAGTGTGATGTCTCTACTCTTTACGATTTTATCGAGACTGGACATTGCTCTCCTCCCAAGAAGTAAGCGTCTTCTGATTTCCTGGCCACAGTCTGCATCTGCAGTATCTTTGCACCTAGAAATACAAAGTCTGTCATGGCCTCCACGATTTCTCCCTCTATTTCCCAGTTGTCAATCATTCTTGTTGCCATAATCTTGGTTTTTTTGATGTTTAGCTGCAACCCGGCTTTTGCGCTTTCTTCTTTCACCTTGATTAGAAGGCTCCTCAGCTCCTCCTCGCTTTCGGCCATCAGAGTGGTGTCATCTGCATATCTGAGGTTGTTAATGTGCATTGTCTAGAAGAGGGGATTTCAGCAGGTGCCGCTTGTGACCTGGTGGCAGGACAAGCCAAAGCTTCTCTACACAACCATTACAAGATAGAGGAGCCCTCTGCCTCTTGTAAGTGGGCAGCCCCAACCTCCCCACCCCCCCCCACCCCCCCACGTGCCCCGCCCTGTACCTGGATGGTGCGCATGAGGCTGTCCACCTTCTCGGGGTCCAGCTSGGGCGGGAGGGGCCGGAGGATGACCCGCAGAGGCACCTGGTGGACGGCGCCCACGTTGGCCGAGTGGATGCTGCCCTGCCCGCCGCCCGGCTGCCCTTCCATCCCCACGCCGGAGTCACTACTCCTCCTCCTCCGTCCCCAAAGACTTCCCCGCAAACTTGCACCGAGTTTGCTCCCAGCTTTGGCTCGGCCAAGCATTTCCTCTCCCGCTGTTTCCTCCACGCGGGGACCAAACCACGGCTGGGACCAAGGAGGGGAGCGAGAGGAAATGGGAAATGGGGGGGGGGGTCACAGCTTCCCACGCGCCCTCTCCCCCTTTGCTGGCTCGCAGGACTCCAAAACAGAGGCTGAGCATGGCAAAGAAATGAGGGAAAGGGGAAAAGGACCCCTAGGACCCCCAAAACAGCCCTTTCTCTCTCCCTCTTTCCCCCAATGAGGAGAATGGAAGAGTCCGAGGTTGCCCAACTGCCATGCGTCAAAGCCTCTCCTGGGCTGGACTCGGGTGGTTTCCTTCCTCGTCTCCTTTCGCTGAGTCACGAGGAGTCAGTCAGCACAGCCGAAGGGGAAAACAGACAAGGAAGAGTAATGAAGCCATTCTGGCTCTGCCGTCCAGTAAATTTGCATTTATGGCGACCCCATGGAGTGAATGAGAGACCAACCAAGTCACCCTCTCCCCCATTGCCCAGCTCAGGTCTTGCAAATCCTGGCTTCTTCGTATTGTCGAAGGCTTTCATTGCCGGGATCACTTTGTTGTTGTAGGTTTTTCCGGGCTATATGGCCATGTTCTAGAGGCATTCTCTCCTGACGTTTCGCCTGCATCTATGGCAAGCATCCTCAGAGGTAGTGAGGTCTGTTGGAACTAGGGAAATGTAGAATGACCAGGGTGGGACAAAGAACTCTTGTCTGTTGGAGCTAGGTGTGAATGTTTCAACTGACCATCTTGATTAGCATTTGATGGCCTGGCAGTTGTTTGGTGTGGCTTGTTGGTGCCTGGGGCAATCTTTTGTTGAGAGGTGATTATATTTGAGCCCATATTTCAATCTCTTTTCCTGCTCACCAGCATTCCCTTTTCCCTTCTTGGGTTCTGAGTAGAGCAGCTGTTTTGGGAGACGGTGGTCGGGCATCTGGACAACGTGGCCGGTCCAGCGGAGTTGATGGTGGAGGACCATCGCTTCAATGCTGGTGGTCTTTGCTTCTTTCAGCATGCTGACATTTGTCCGCTTGTCTTCCCAAGAGATTTGCAGGATTTTCCAGAGGCAGCACTGATGGAATCGTTCCAGGAGTTAGTTAGTTAGTTTATTTATTTATTTATTTACAGCATTTATATTCCGCCCTTCTCACCCCGCAGGGGACTCAGGGCGGATTACAATGTACACATATATGGCAAACATTAAATGCCATTAGACATACAAAGTATATAGACATACACAGAGGCTATTTAACTTTTTCTGGCCGCCAGGGGAGCTGTCGCTTTCATCGTCCATCTGCGACACTGATGAAGTACTTCCGCATTCCCCGCATGCTTTGCTGGAGTGCTTTTTGCTGGAGTCTTTTTTATGGCCTCATAAATTAGTTAAATTAGCCTCTCCACACATAGGTGGTACCTAATTTTCCTACTTGACAGATGCAACTGTCTTTCGGGTTGCAAAGATCGACAACAAGCTACACAATTGGTCGGAAGCTCACTCCGACCTGGGCTGGCTTCGAACTTATGACCTTTTGGTCAGAGTGATCTTAACGCAGCTGACACTCAGCCAGCTGTGCCACAATCCCGGTGCATGTGACGTCTGTAGATAGTCCACATCTAGCAAGCATATTGCAGGGTTGGGAGGACAATAGCTTTATAAACAAGCACCGTGGTATTCCTACGGATGTCCCGGTCCTCAAACACTCTCTGCTTCATTCGGAAAAATGCTGCACTCACAGAGCTCAGGCGGTGCTGTATTTCAGTGTCAATGTTCACTTTTGTGGAGAGGTGGCTGCCAAGGCAGTGGAAATGGTCAACATTTTCTAATGTTGGCGTCACGCTGGCACAAGGCAAACTGAAAGAGGGGAACAGAGCAACCCCCTCCAACTTGTTGCTCCGCCCCTCACATGCGTGGGCCATCAAACCAGCCAGCCCAAACCAAGTCTGGCTCCTTCATGGGGTCATTCAAACTTCCCCCTACCCCTGCATCCTAAGCTTTGCTTGGTTGCGGGTGGGGCAACTTCCTGCATGCCAGCTCTAAGACCCTCTAGTTCAGCGGTTCTCAACCTGGGGGTTGCGGCCCCCAGGGGGGTTACTTGGCCATTTCAGAGGGTTGTGCCCCCAATCCTTAGGCCCTGCTCCCAATGCTGGGCCGTGGTCCCGCCTTCCAGGAAGGCTGCGCTCCAGCCGAGGGTTCTCCTCGCGCGAAGGCTCCCTCCGCTGGGCCGTGGTCCCGCCTTCTGGCAAGGCCACAATCCAGCTGAGGGCTCTCCTCGCGCAAAGGCTCCCTTGGCTGTGCTGCGGTCCTGCCTTCTGGCAAGGCCGCGATCCAACTGAGGGCTCTCCTCGGATGAAGGCTCCCACGGCTGGGCCACGGAGTTAGTCAAGGGAGTTCTGTGTGCCAAGGTTTGCTCCAATCCATCATTGGTGGAGTTCAGAATGCTCTTTGATTTTAGGTGAATTATAAATCCCAGCAACTACAGCTCTCAAATATCGAGGTCTATTTTCCCCAAATTCCACCACATTTGGGTATATTGAGTATTTGTACGAATTTTGGTCCAAATCTATCATTGTTTGAGTCCACAGTGCTCTCTGGATGTAGGTGAACTACAACTCCAAAACTCAAGGTCAATGCTCACCAAACCCTTCCAGTATTTTCTGTTAGTCATGGGAATTCTGTGTACCAAGTTTGGTTCAATTCCATTGTTGGAGTTCAGAATGCTCTTTGATTGTAGGTGAACTATAAATCCCAGCAACTACAACTCTCCAGCATTTAAATGTGGTATTCGTGCCAAATTTGGTCCAGTGAATGAAAATACATCCTGCCTATCAGATATTTACATTATGATTCATAACAGTAGCAAAATGACAGTTATGAAGTAGCAACAAAAATAATTTTACGGTTGGGGGTCACCACAACATGAGGAACTGGATTAAGGGGTCACGGCATTAGTAAGGTTGAGAAACACTGCTCTAGTTAACTGTTGCATCTAGAGAAGATCAAGGTGAGGTTTCTCATTGTGTCAAAATAATTTGAAACCCATAGTTCATCATTGTGTGTCTTTCGCTTCATTTTTTCATGAATGGTTCCCAGTCCTTTCTGAAGTTGTTTTCACCTTTTCCCCTGAAAATCACTGCAAGTTTATAGCTGCCCATTTGCAGACCCTTATCGGCTGCCGATTTACCAGCCAGAGAGGAGTGGAAATAGGAAGAGTAGGTTTTTCCACCCTTATTCCCTAACTGCATTTTAGAAAATGTGGTATTTCTTTTCCTTCTCTGAAGTTTGAGGTTTCTTAAGCTCTCCCTGCTGTTGCTTTCGTTCTTTAATTTTAAAAGCATTAGGTAGGCAAATGTCACATTTTAACCGCTCGTATTGGAAAAGAACACAATCGGGCTTAAGCAAACATGGCCTGCCCCTTTCATAAAATCATGCTGTTGCAGTTTCCTACCTTCTCTCACAAAGGATTATATTGTTTGATGGAGGAAGGTTGCTGATCTCAATCATTCCACTGTCTGGTCAAGGGGGCCAACTTGACACGACTGATGCCACCTATATGTAGAACTGTAAGTTGCAGGCTTTGAACCTTTGTATCATGCCTGGTTTTGCCTTTTTACTCTGTAAATGCATAGTTGGATTGATTGGTTTTTATAGCTGTCAATCAATGTTGTTTGCACCAGTTGAATTGCTCCTCCTGCTCAATTGTTTGACCTCACATCTTCCTAGAGAGCAGGACAGTGCTTCCTTTTCCATTCCACCATCAAACTTTCTATCAGATGGACGTGAGAGAGAGACTTGGCTCTGAAGCCCTTGATTAAGTTACCTCTCAGCACCAATTCTGAGGTTCTTACCCTTGAGACTTATGCTTCATGTTCAGATCAACCTGGACGTTGAGAAGTCTCAAGCGCCTTCAAACCAGTTCTTTGGCACCAGGAAAGGCTTTGTGCCTTCAAATATAGGCCATTGGAATTGGGGTTGTGATTATTCTGATATTCACAGCCATTGAGAAAGAGGGACCTGGAAAAGCTTCTCAGCTGCGAAATCTCCTTGGACCCAAGACAACCAGAGACTGTAATGTATATTTTCCTTTACCCCTTTGAAACTTCCAGCTTATTGCCTTAAAGGGATAACTCTTTGTGAACAATAAAACCTATTTTGAGTTATCTACAGTGTTTTGGTCCTTGGGAGTTCCAGTTTTCCTAAAGGAGGGCAAGAAGCAATCCCCTGGGGGAAAGATGTCATGTCCATGCCTCTTCCACTAAGAGTTATAGCCCACGGGTGCAACGGCATACCAACTAAATCTTGCAAGTGTTTAAATAGAGTTCAAAATATCTTCCAGGGAGTGGAGGGCATGTTCTGTGCATATGGGTGGCTGGTGAATCCTCACGTTGATTTTTGGACTTATTCAGAAGCAGAGCACTACTAAATTCCAGTTCTAGTAAATTCCAGCTCCCTTTCCCTCCTCATTCTCTGTCTAGTGCAACGTTTCCCAACCTGAGGGTCGGGACCCTTGGGGGGAGTCACAAGGGGATGTCAGAGGGATAGCCAAAGACCATCAGAAAACACAGTATTTTCTGTTGGTCATGGGGGTTCTGTGTGGGAAGTTTGTCCCATTTCTATCGTTGGTGGGGTTCCAAATGCTCTTTGATTGCAGGTGAACTATAAATCCCAGCAACTACAACTCCCAAATGTCAAGGACTATTTTCCCCAAATTCCACCAGGGTTCACATTTGGGCATATTGGGTATTCGTGCCAAGTTTGGTCCAGATCCATCCGTGTTTGAGTTCACAGTGCTCTCTGGATGCAGGTGAACTACAACTCCAAAACTCAAGGTCAGAGTCCACCAAACCCTTCCAGTATTTTTTGTTGGTCATGGGAGTTCTGTGTACCAAGTTTAGTTCAATTCCATCGTTGGTTGACTTAAGAATGCTCTTTGATTGTAGGTGGACTATAAATCCCAGCAACTACAACTCCCAAATGTCAAGGACTATTTCCCCCAAACATCACCAGGGTTCACATTTAGGAATATTGGGTATTCGTGCCAAGTTTGGTCCAGATCCATCAGTGTTTGAGTTCACAATGCTCTCTGGATGCAGGTGAACTACAACTCCAAAACTCAAGGTCAGTGTCCAGCAAACCCTTCCAGTATTTTCTGTTGGTCATGGGAGTTCTGTGTGCCAAGTTTAGTTCAATTCCATCATTGATTGACTTCAGAATGCTCTTTGATTGTAGGTGGACTATA